TTTTTTTTTTTTATATATATAGAGACAGAGAGACCCGCGGGGGGAGAGAAATATATATATATATATATATATCTCTCTCTCTCTCTCTCTCTCTCTCACGCGCGCGCGCGCGAGTGAGTGTGTTTTTTTTTTATATATATTTTTTTTTTTTTTTTTTTGTGCGCGCGTGTATATATATCTCTCTCACACACACACACACACACTCTCTATATATATATATATATATATATATATATATATATATATATATATATATATATATATATATATTCAGTGGATTAACTTTTTAGTGCATTCATTTCTCAGTTAAAGACGTATCTCAACGTACGCTAGGAAAATAAACATAGTAAATTTAGATTTCATACAAAATTAAACTTGCTTGCTCAGGTGGCATTAACTGATAGCTAGAGCAGTGGTTTCCAACCTTTATTTGCTTAAGACCCCCTTTTCCCCTGGAAAATATTGTACCACATTTAATGATATTAATCACTTATATAAGTTTGCAGTATGTATGACAAAAATGTTGTTTTCAAACAAACGTTAGTTTAGTAATAGTATATTTGTTACTATATTTAGATATTGTAATGTAAAACATAAAAGCAAAACATTAGTAGGCCATTTGTAACTGAAAAACGTAAGCCTTTGGCCTTTGAATTGGCCCTATTTTAAATTCAATAACACAAATATCAGTATTCGCACTGGTGTATAAAGGAAAAATATAACAGGCTATTACAATTTAATACTTGCATGTTATTTGTTATGCTCTATCAATTAGTGTGACTGTATTTTTTTGTGGAGGATGGATTACAAATTTGTCCATCTTTGGTCAGATAGGGCAGTAGTCCTCTCAACGCTTAACAATTTTACAGCAGACAGTGGTGGGGGTAGGGGTGGTTGTGGGTGGGGATTCGTAGGTTGCTAGGCAAATATCAATCTCAAAGGATGACAAAAGCTGACAAAACGTTGCCGTAACTCTGATATAAGTTTTATTTTTGGAGAAAAGTACAAAGTGTTTGCATATTCTATATAAGCTAAAGCTGATAGGTCAATTCTTGTCACGTAACTCGTTTTGTGCTCGTGGCCCGCTTGCCGCTTGTATGCGCAACCTGCACACCTCCATTAGAAACAACAAACTTGTGCAAACTCTAGAAATACGCGATATGCGATCAGCCCCTAAAAGGCCGCCGTCATTTGCGATCTCCATCAGTTGATCTTTTTGCAGAGCCATGCTGGATTCACCCAAGCGGCAACCTCCCGCTCTCCCTCAGGAAGCCAATACGGAAGTAACTAAAGCTGCAATACATCCGAAATTCCGCTAGTCCTGGCCGCTCCTGGCTCCAAAACAGAGCAAATTTCAATTGAGCCCACTGTTAGAATGGCCAACTTTACAGCAGAAAAAAGGGTGTTTAAAGCCTGGTACAAAAAAAGGTTTTGGTTAATACAGCTAATATTACCTTTCATGACAACTGTGAGGGGGGTGAATTTTTTTATAACTCATCCGTTTCCTTTATATTCAGTTATATTAAGTTTGCATAATTAAGGGCGTGGCCACTTGATTGACAGCTAGGTCTCGCTGGTCGCCGTCACGTCACCTCAGCTGAATCCTGCAGATTAGCCACTGAACTCGGCTTATTTATCGTATTTCTGTGTTGTTTTATGTGGCTTTACACAGTCAACTGCCTTTTGGACTTGTTTCCCACAATTATTAGATGGCATGGCATGCTGAGTTAATTGTGCTCACAAACCATTCACGTGGCCTCCGTTTCCCATGTGAGTAAAGTTATATACTTATCTACCATCTCTATACATGTATTTGTTTCATTTAAGATCATTTATCGTTTATATTTATATTTAGAGCTGTAATGCACTCCAGAATCTGTCAGATTGATTAGCTGTAGGCTCTAGAACCGTCATCTGAAGCGTTGTCATACAGTGTTATGCTGGATTTCATCAATAGTCTTACATAAACTAACACAGACTATATCTGAAGTGTTTGTAAGTAATTCGCGTTTTCCTCCTGTTGAAAAACGTCATAAGAACAATGTTTAGTGGCTCAATGTATTACAGCAGTGTTTTTAAAAGTCTAAACACTTTATTGATATGGTATACAACCAAGCACAAGTGGTCAGAATACAAACGAGTCACAGGTGATAAAGTATTAGGCGTTCTCCCAAAGTAAAGTGTGTCTGAACCAGGTCCAAGCTAAATGCTAGCAGGTGTCTGAATCTCCGCTCATTCTCCGCCTCTTTGCCCTTGTTTGGTATCCCGCCATCGGTGTGATGACGCGCAAACAAAATGGCGACGGTTGGCCACGCCTACTTGTGGCTTCTTTTGCGCTCTTTAGAAACCTATGGGTGACGTCACGGATACTACGTCCATATATTTTACAGTCTATGGATTCACCTGATTTGTTGACAGTTCGGGTCCTTCACTGGGCCTTTCCCCCTTAGCAAAGAAACTTTTCAGAGACGTCTATTTCTTATTCATTTTGCTGCTTGTTGGTTAAATTTGGCCGCTCAAGTTACCGAGATGTAAGCGAGACAATATGGTCATTTTTTCATAATAAAAGATCGTTCAGATAATAAATACAACAGAACTAATTAATGATTTCTTGTGCGACCTGTTACCAATTGATCCACGCACCGGTGACTGAGGACCACTAAGCTAGGGGATAAAATGAACTAAGGCAACATGATTGTTCTCCTAATTGTCCACTGCTAAGACATTTTCAAAATGTGATGCGACCCCCCACAAAGCTCGCTGAGGCCCCCTAGTGGGCCGGGACCCCCTGTTGGGAACTGCTGAGCTACAGCATCCAAGGTGACTCTAAAAAAAGAAAGGACGGCTCTTTGTTTGCAGTCATAAATGCAGTCACTCACCCGCCAGCAGATCGTCTGTCCGACTGCTCTCTTGCCTCCTGCTCGCTGCTTTCTTGTCTCTCCATTCGATGTCTGTCCCGCCGACGAACCTCATGACCTTCATGTTCACTAGATGTCTGTCTCTCTAGCCTTTTTTCCACCCTCTCCGCTCGTTCCCTCCACACCTCCTGAGGAAGCTCATCCCTGCGTGCCTGAATCAGCTGCTCTGTAGAAAGTTGTCTCTCCAACCGGGACTCCCTTGGTGGTGGGTGCTGCTCCACCAGAAGTTCGGACCGACTGCTCCCGCTCCCTCCCACCATACTGTTCAGCCTCTCCCGTCCTCCACCAGGCTCCTGGAGGACCACCTCTGCCATCACGTTCTCATGATACCGTTCCCTCTCCTTCTCCAGCAGGGGGTGGACCACCTCATGGATGTGTTCGATCTTCTGCTGTGGGACTTGGCCCTTAAAGTCAGGTCGCAACTGAGTGACCTTATGCTCCATAGCAGTGCCCAGTCCTGCGGCCACACCAACAATCCCAGCATTCCTGGCTTCCTGAAGGCGATAAGTAGCAGCTCCATTCATGATGGGAGTGTAGTTGGCCACTGTGGAGCCCAGTCTGCGGGCCACAGAAGAGGGAGAGGGCTGCGGGGTGATGCGCTCCGCCCGGGGCTCGCCCTGCTCATAAATAGTCTGTCTTATGATGGAGGAAGGGCTACTGCGAGCTGGAGAAGAGTCCTGGGGGTCCAAGAAAACCTTACGTCCCAATAAGGGAGTTGGGGGAAGCTTGCTCTGCTCGGCTTTGATCTTCTCTACCTAAATTATGAAACAAGGGAATAGGTACTTTGGTTAACACTTTAGTTTAAGGGCCTTTTCTCACTATTAAAGGGATAGTTCACCACAAAATGGAATTGTATTCATTTTTTTCTCAATCTTAAGTGGTACCAAACCTTTAAAAGTTTCTTTATTCGGTCACACTTTATTGTGATGATCAATTTAAGTTACATTGCATGTACATGCTAACTAATTCTCATTAGATTCGAAGAAGACTGTTAGGTTGGGGTTAGGGTTGGGATTAGGGTTAGTGTAAGTTGACAGGTACTTGCAAAGTTTCTTATGGTCAGTTAAATGTCTGTTGAAGGAGAAGTATCAACAGATAGTAAGCAGACAGTCTACTAATGGCCTGTTTCCGCTGAGTTGTATGGTACGGTTCGGTTTGGTATGCTTTTATCTTTTTTTTTTTTTTTTTTTATTCTGCAGCCAGAATTCTAACCAGAACCAGAAAATCAGAGCACATCACACCTGTCCTCAGGTCTCTACACTGGCTGCCAGTTACATTCAGAATAGATTTTAAAGTATTATTACTGGTCTATAAATCACTAAATGGCCTAGGACCTAAATACATCACAGATATGCTCACTGAATACAAACCTAACAGATCACTCAGATCATTAGGATTATATAAACTAAAAGTTCCAAGAGTTCAGTCAAAGCAGGGTGAATCGGCTTTTAGCCACTATGCCCCTCGCTTCTGGAATCAGCTTCCAGAAATGATCAGATGTGCTCCAACATTAGGCACATTTAAATCAAGACTGAAAACACATCTGTTTAGCTGTGCCTTTACTGAATGAGCACTGTGCTGCGTCCGACAGATTGCACTATCATGTTTTTCTCTTCTTCTTCATTCTTTTATATCACATTTTACCTGTTTTTATGTTTTGTTTTGTTTTTACACATTTTAATTATTTGTTTTTATTTTTATTTTACTTGTTTCTTTTATTCTTGTTTATGTAAAGCACTTTGAATTGCCATTGTGTATGAAATGTGCTATATAAATAAACTTGCCTTGCCTTGCCTTATCGCCGTTTCCACTGTCAAAAGGTGTACCGAACCGAACTGTACCGTACCGTACCACTTTTTCGCCAGCCTTTCAAAAGGGTACCAAACACGAGAAAGGTTACCAAAAGGCAGAGCTAGACACGCAGCTGAACGCTATTGGTTTACAGAAATACGTCAATTGCTTACGCAACAAGTCAAAATGAAAACAAAAAAACGACATGTTTAAAATACACAGCCGAGAGATTCTTTTATTATATATATATATATATACATATAATAACGAGCCATGGTCGATCAGGGCTCAAACGAACCTTGATGAACAGCCACAAAGCCATGGAGTAGAGCAGAATCTACCCTGTGCCTCAAAGTTTTTACAAGCCAGTCTGAAGCGTGAGCGGGAAACACCGTTAACGTGATTTAAATATTTTCCAGTAGGTTTAGATATTAATTAGCAATCATTCATTCAAACATGAATGAGTTTGGGGAAACACTTGTCACTACACCGTTCATTTCCTAAACAATGGATCATACTATGATAGTTCAGCTGCGAGTTAGAACGTTGTTTGGCAAACGCGCCCAAGATTAATTAAAATCTTCGGAATTACTCAAAACTGAACTGTGTTAGGCCAAATTGGAGCTAAACACAATATCAATGGTCCTCCAGAAGCAGGATTGGGCACATCTACCTTTTATATACATTTGGTCTCAGTTACCGTGGTCAGGCGACGTAAAGAGCTGAATCGTTCTTCCCACGTGGCAGCAGCTTTGCGGAAAGCTTCGTGCCTGCGAATCAGCTGCTCGACTTCATCCACACTGCCACCCAGCTCATTACTGTTAAGGAGGGGTTCCTGAGCGGTGAGCCAGGCCTCTGCCACCACTGCTTCCTGAGCAAACTGATGCACCTCCAGCACTGAGAAAAAAAAAGATGTTGGAAAACACACGAGACTGATTACATGACTTCTACGTCATTTAACTCACTCTGCTGCAAATCTTCCCAGTGTTTCTCCCATTTCTCAGTGAGTTCTTGCTGCTTGGACAAAACCCTCTCCAGCTTGTCTTTGATCTGAAAAGGTCAAACAATCCAATGTTATATATTTAAAAAAGACAGTTTTGCATGGCATGTACTTTATTAAGCTGGAAACACACTATGCACACTATAAAAAAGCTTGGCTAATGCATTGAAAGCAGGGAATGCCTACAAGACAGGCATGAAATAAAGCATGCATAGAATATTGCTGCGTCCCAATATCCATACTATACATCCTAAAAAGTATCCCAAACAGTGTCCCACAATTCATATTATGTTGAAATGTGTATTCTAAAGGCACCTGGATAGTCTACTATTATTATTAGATATTCAAAGTGAAGATCCGTGCTAATATTACCTACAATACATTAACATTGGATGTGAATTCGATTAGAACTACAAACACAGGCATCAAAAAACTACAAACATGGCGGATGCGCTAGACTGAAGGTTAATAGGAGAGGCTTTTGTAAAGATGTTTGAATGAATGATTGCTAATTAATATCTAAACCTACTGGAAAATATTTAAATCACGTTAACGGGGTTGTATTTTATATGCAACAACAATTTAAACGCTTATAAAGATGTGTTTAACAGTGTCCCAAATTATAGTATGTTGAAATGAATATTCTAAAGTCACCCAGATAGTCTACTATTTCTGGTCGATATTCGAATTAAAGATTTGTGCTTAGACAACGCACTAATACTGCCTACAATATATTGTGCGTTGGATGTGAATTTGATTAGAACTACAAATGCAGGTGTCAAAAAAACTACAAACATGGCGGAGAAGCCAAACAAAAGGTTAATAGCAGAGACTGGTGAAGATGTTTGAATGAATGATTGTTCATAAATATCTAACCTACTGGAAAATATTTAAATCATCTAAATGGGGTTATATTTTATATGCAACAACAATTTAAACACTTATAAAGATGCGTTTAACAGTGTTCCAAATCATAGTATGTTAAAATGAGTATTCCAAAGTCACCCGGATAGTCTACTATTTCTGATAGATATTCAAAGGGAAGTTCCATGCTTAGTCTAACCGCTAGTATTGCCTACAATACATTAGCATTGAATGTGAGTTAGATTAGAACTACAAATGCAGGCGTCAAAAAACTACAAACATGGCGGAAAAGCCAAACAAAAGGTTAATAGCAGAGACTGGTGAAGATGCTGAATAAAGGATTGTTCATTAATATCTAACCAATTGGAACATATTTAAGTCACATTAACAGGGTTATATTTCATATGCAACAACAATTTGAACAAAGTACAAAAACGCGTTTAACAGTGTCCCAAATCATAGTATGTTGAAATGAGTATTCTGAAGTCACCCGGATAGTCTACTATTTCTGGTCGATTTTCGAATTAAAGATCCGTGCTTAGTCAAACCACTAATATTGTCTACAATATATTGTGCATTGGATGTGAATTTGATTAGAACTACAAATGCAAGTGTCAAAAAACTACAAACATGGCGGAGAAGCCAAACAAAAGGTAAATAGGAGAGACTGGTGAAGCTGTTTGAATGAATAATTGTTCATAAATATCTAACCTACTGGAAAATATTTAAATCATGTAAATGGGGTTATATTTCACATAAAACAATAATTTGAACAATTATATAGATGCGTTTAACAGTGTCCCAAATCATAGTATGTTAAAATGAGTATTCTAAAGTCACCCGGATAGTCTACTATTTCTGATAGATATTCAAAGGGAAGATCCATGCTTAGTCTAACCGCTAATATTACCTACAATACATTAGCATTAGATGTGAACTTGATTAGAACTACAAATGCAGGCATCAATAAACTACAAACATGGCAGAGAAGCCAATAAATATGTTAATAGGAGAGACTCTGGTTAAAAATGTCTGAATAAAGGATTGTTAATTAATATCTAACCTACTGAAAAATATTTAAATAACATTTACAGGGTTATATTTCATATGCAACAACAATTTGAACGCTTATAAAGATGCGTTTAACAGTGTCCCAAATTATAGTATGTTGAAATGAGTATTCTAAAGTCACCTAGATAGTCTACTATTTCTGGTAGATATTCTAAGTGAAGATCCGTGCTAAATCAAACCGTTAATATTGCCCACAATACATTAGCATTGGATGTAAATTTGATTAGAACTACAAATGCAGGCATCAACAAACTACAAACATGGCGGAAGCACTAGGCTGAAGGATAAGAGGAGCGGCTTTGGTCAAGATGTTTATATGATTGGTTGTTCATTAATATGTAAATCACTGGAAAATATTTAAATCACATTTACCACATTATATCACAAACGCAAAAAGAATTTGAACGTTTACGTAGATGTAGACGTGTTACAAACTACTTCAATATGGCAGAAAATTTAACATTAAAGAAATGTTGATGTGAAATATGATTGACAGGGCACGTAACATAATGCTCCGTTAATGAGGAAGTAGTATGTCTCAACACTCAAAGGAATGTGCTTTTTCTTCACAAATAAAGTACATACTTTTAGGACATAGTATAAGTAGGAGAACTGGGATACAGCATATATCACAGTATAGTTCCTGATCAGGCTGTGTTGTCTGTTTTAGGCATCACCTCTTCTGATGCAGGGTTACGGGCGGCCAGTAAAGTCTTGCCCAACTCGATACACTGTAGGACGCTCTTGTTGCGGGCTTCCACCTCACTCTTGAGGCTCTGGTGATAGTTCATCAGGACCTCCACGGAGGACACATCCCTGCAAGTACCAGAGAGCCCATATCCCATTAAAGCTCTGAGGAAAGAGCTGACAGTGAGAAGAGAGAGAGTTACACATGCAAGAACACATGGGCCAAGTCTGCCCGCAGGAAAAAAACAGCAACAGAAGGCCATACTGGCAGGCAACATAAAGAGTGTCCATGATGGCTCCTGAGCTTTTTCAGATTTTTATGATATTTAAATTGTACAAAACTTATTATAGCTCTGTTCCAATACCTAGTGAGCTGCCAACCTAGATGGATTTAAAGGGATAGTTTAGCCCTAAAATGAAATGTTTTTCACCATTTACTTACCCTATAATGGTTTAAAACCATGTTTTTGCTGAACACACAAGATATTTCGTAGAATGCTGGAGTTCAGACATTAACCTTCATATCAGTTTTAAATTCCAATCCATTTTATCCAATTGTCGTACACATGTATTAAAGGTGCAGTAGGTGATCGTCTTCGGAAACATTTGTTGTTGTGCTGGTTGAAAGTCTCTTCACATTCCAATAGTAACTAGAACCTAAAGTTTATTGATAAACTTTGATGTTGGCTTGAGAAAGCCAACGTGACTGCGCTAGGACTGGGAATGGCAGTTGGCAGGAAGCACGGCGGCGGTTGCTAAGTGGTTGCTAGGCAGTTGCTAAAACAATTATGGCATTGTTAGGTGGTTGCTAAGCAGTTGCTAAATGGCAATGCTCGTGTACATGTTTGATCAAATGCTAATACTTAGTAGGCATTTCTAGCATATGTTATTGCATTTAGATAATCATTCATAGCATGTAGCTAATCGTTATTAGCACTTGGCTTCCATTATCATTGTTACCATGCATAGTACACAGGAAGTCCCATTTGCTAGCATGAGTCAAACAAGCCAATGCCCAGGTCCCTACGATGTTCTGATGTAGAGATATTGCTATTTTTAAATGGTTGCTAGGTTATACTGTTTTATTGCTATGGGGACATTTGACAGGTTAGTGATGATACATTAAAGCTTTTTGGCAATATGAGTGATCTTGATCAACCCCGATGTTTCTATGACAGTCTTTATGAGTGTCAAAAACTGGACTCGAACATTATGTATTCCTGGTGTTGGGTTGCGGCTGGAAGGGCATTCGCTGTGTAAAACAAATGCTGTATAAGTTGGCGGTTCATTCCGTTGTGGCGACCCCTGATTAATAAAGGGACTAAGGGAATGAACATTATGTAAAAATGGCTTGCCGTATTTTTTGGAAAATACAATGCTTAATAAGTGTGAAGGTGATACATGCTAAAATGGCTTGCCATATCAGTAAAAAATATGGAGTTTAAGTCAAAAATGGCTTGCCATATTTTAAGAAAAATAATGCTTAAAAATTATTTATTGGAAAACTATAAGTCTGATAAACATTAAAGATAAAGCAACAAAACCTAACGCATCTAAATACAGCTTTTGGCCAAATTTGGGGCTTGTATAATTTTTTTATATGCTCGGATTACAGAAATTTAATATTTAACATTTTTTATTAAAAAAACAATAAGTGTTATAGGCATGAAGAGATATAGCAACAATCTTGAATGTAGAAGGCACGATTTGACCACATTTGGGCCTTGTGGCATGAACGGCCTAGGAGGAGATACGTTATAGGAGGAGATACGTTATACGTTACGTATTTATACGTTATATATATAGGTTATAAAAGCTTGGTTCTGGATTTTTTTTAGATTGTCTACTTTACATTTTGTCACATGCCAACATTTAGATATTGTTCTATTTATTAATATTTGTCAGAAATGACAATGAGGCACCCTCCCGCAATACAAAGTCAAACAGAGCAGTATGGATAGTTGAAATATGCTTGTTGTGCTCTGTCTTTATAAATTAATTGTAAAACAGACTTTTGAAAATGGAGGCATGTCTGTTCACAATCAATCACCGATAGGTCTTATGGACTATTGCATATATTTTCCTGGTACATCAAACCCGTCTCATATGACCATTAATCAAGCAGTAGTCTCCAATTATGGATGCCACCAAAATATCCACATGCCCAGTGAACGTGAATAGTCAAGTATCATCTGTGGATGGAGATTTTTTTTTCTCTGAAACATATTTAAAATGGCAGTCTGAATGAGGATGAGGAGCATTTTCATTCTAAAACACAGATGTTAAATGAAAACGCACGGTAACATTTATAATAACTACACACTATAAATCATTTATTAAGCATTAGCAAATAGTGAATTAATTATCCGTTAAGCATTAACTCTACATTAATATGCGTTAGTAAGCAGTTTATAACTGCAGCTACAAATGCTCTATTCTTGACTTATAGCCACATTTAAAATGTGCTTAATAATTGTATTTTCATACTTAGTAAATGATTAATTTTTCATTACTAAATTAAGTATCGCATTATTTACAAACCATTTGTATTTAAGAGGAGTTGAGGGTTTTTAGGATCATTCAGAATGAGTTAGTAAATGATTAATAAACTATTGAAATCAACGATTGTATGTCTTATTATTCAGGCATATAGTACTAGTCAACTAATATGTTAATAAATGCTTATTGTGAGGACTATTTATGCTTTATAAATCCCTTATAAATGATAAATAAAGGCTCAGAATCAAATGAACTATAATCTTTGCAATCTTTTCTAAAATGTAAAATTACTGTAAAGTTTAAACATTGCTGAATAACAGGAGTGTCAGAATACAACAAAACTGGATAAAACAACAACATAATAATTAAACAATGTAATAAAATGTAATGTTTAAACTCTATAGTGATGTTATTTTAGATAAGCTTGCAAAGATTTATTTTTCATTTGAAGTACAGTTTCATTTGTGTATCTTTAACTGAATAGGAATGAATAATGTAACTTTTCCTGTTTAGAATTTAACTGAGCCTTTATTTGTCATTTATAAGGGATTTATAAAGCATGAATAGTCCTCACTTTAGATTAGGTCACAAAACTAGGTGAAGTTGAGTTAATAAAGCATTTATTAACATACATAGCAACCATTAATATATGCCTGAATAATAAGACATATCAACGTTAATTTCAATAGTTTACGAATCATTTACTAACTCATTCTGAATGATCCTAAAAACCCTCAACTACTCTTAAATACAACTAGTTTGTAAATAATGCAATACTTAATTTAGTAATGAAAAATAAATCATTTACTAAGCATGAAAATACAGTTATTAAGCACATTTTAAATGTGGTTATAAGTCAACAATAGAGCATTTGTAGCTGCAGTTATAAGCTGTTTACTAACGCTTATTAATGTAGAGTTAATGCTTAACGGATAATTAATTCACTATTTGCTAATGCTTAATAAATGATTTATAGTGTGTAGTTATTATAAAGTGTTACCGAATGCACTTGTGTGAATGGCACCTAAGAAGGTAGGCGCCTACGCAGGTAGTAGCAGCTCAAAAAGTTTTGTAACAGATCTATTGTTTTCCTACACAGTGCTCTTAATAAACACAGAACTATTATGCTTGATCGGAAGAATAAATACTCTTGCAGGTTATGCACTTACCACCTTATCATTTATCTGTGCACGTGGTATGATATCTATAATACACTCCAGCGGCCACAGTGGCTAATCTCCATCTGCTCTGATGCAAATCTTCATGCATTATAATGTTAAAGCACCTTAATGAGTTTCTATAAGTGGAGAGCGAGTGTCCCAGCATGTGTGTCCTACCTTGGCTTCTCCCCAGTTCCTATCTGGCAGATGATGCTTTCCATCCACATCAGCTGGTCACGCACCATCCCGAAGAAACGTAGCTTGTCTGTGGCTGTGGTTATCTGCATTCGGCAGTCCTCACAAGATATCAGCAGCTCTTTCCACGCCTGCATCACCTCGTGTTCCTGCATGGCAATTGCCTCTGCTTTCTCACCGGCGTAAACCGTTCGGAGCTGTGCTGCGCTCTCCTGTAGCTGTCTTACCTGAGGAAAACATGTGTGAGAGAGATCTATCCACAAACTGATTAAGTTGAAGTCAGAGTTATTAACCCCTTGAATTATTAGCCCCCTTTACCTATTTATTTACCCACTTTCTGTTTAGCGGAGAGATTTTTTCAACCCATTTCTAATCATAATAGTTTTAATAACTCATTTCTAATAACTCATCTATTTTATCTTTACCATGATGACAGTAAATAATATTTGACTAGATATTTTTCAAGATACTAGAATTCAGCTTAAAGTGACATGTAAAGGCTTAAAGGTGCAGTAGGTGATCTTCCACAATGCTAACAGCTTAGCATAAATCTCTGAATCACAGTCCCTCCCCTGCCGTCTAGAGCCACGCCTCCTTAAACACGAGCACAGCAAAAGAACCCTCTCTCATGTGTTAAAAGCCACTAGTGCTTGTCCAGCGGTGAGCAAGCCAAACTGACATGCTATTAATATGGTTAACTATATAGGGAGAGACTAGGGAGAATAGCGCTATTTACTTGTGTTTTGTTGCTAAACTAATTAAAATCTACATCATCGCGTCACGGTTGCAGGTTTGTGCGCTTCTCCGGAGTGTATGTTTGATCACGTGGGTTTGTTTTGTTTTGGTTGTCCATGTGGATTTGTTAGGCTCACTTGTTATGACGACACTCAGTTGGTCTGATTAGTTCGCCAGCTGAGGCTCATCATGGTGCCTATATCTGGGCGACGCTTTTGTGTGTCTGTGTCAGTTTGTTACTATCACTCATGTTTGTGTGTCTGTGCTCAGGCCCTGAGGAGTTATCTGGATCTGGTTTCCCCGTTCTGTTCCTGCCCTGTGTTCTGCGTCCTTCTAGCCTGGCACTATTTGTTTTATTGTCAAATACAATAAACTTTGTTCACTTGCATTTGGATCCTCTCTGACTTTCATTGAAACGTAACACATCGTCCCTTATGAAACTGAAAATAGTCTTATCAGTCTTTCACCGGAAGATTCTTCATTCAGAAACACTTCTGTGAAGATAAAACCCATTTAAAACAACATCTAACGTTACATCACACCACATTTCTAGAACTGCTCGCTCGTGCAGATTCGCACTCTATAACATCAGAAAGATCCGACCCTTCTTATCTGAACATGCAGCTCAACTCCTTGTTCAAGCTCTTGTTCTCTCCAAATTGGATTACTGCAACTCTCTACTAGCCGGGCTTCCAGCTAACTCTATCAAGCCTCTTCAGCTGCTCCAGAACGCAGCAGCACGAGTGGTCTTCAATGAACCTAAACGAGCACATGTCACTCCACTGCTCATCCGTTTGCACTGGCTGCCAGTTGCTGCTCGCATCAAATTCAAAGCTCTGATGTTTGCTTACAAAGCGACTTCTGGCTTTGCTCCTTCTTATCTGCTCTCACTTCTGCAGATCTATGTGCCCTCCAGAAACTTGCGTTCTGTGAATGAACGTCGCCTCGTGGTTCCATCCCAAAGAGGGAAGTAATCACTTTCCCGAACGCTTGCGCTCAATCTGCTCAGTTGGTGGAATGAACTCCCTAACTATAACAGAACGGCAGAGTCACTCACTGTTTTTAAGAAATGACTAAAACTCAACTATTTAGTCTCCACTTCACTTCCTAATCTGCAATTGCCTCTCTGGATATACCACTAACTGTAAAAAGTTAAAAAAAAAAAAAAAAAATGCTTTCCTTCTTAGACTTTACAGACCTGAAACTTGCCTACAGCACTTATTCATTGTTGCTCTTATAGTTGTGTAAATTGCTTCCTTGTCCTCATTTGTAAGTCGCTTTGGATAAAAGCGTCTGCTAAATGACTAAATGTAAATGTACATCAGCTTTGCGTGAAGCTAAAACAGTTTTAAAACAGACCATTACTTGTCTAAGAGAAATCCTTCAGCCATTGTGTTATTCTTTCTCCAGCTCCAATATTGATTCAGGTTTTTACAAAGTTTTGATTCAGCAGGTTTTTACAGATCGCATGCGCGTGCTCTCTCTCTCTCTCTCTCTCTCTCTCTCTCCCATGAACGCGCAGCACAAACAGCGGTCGGCGGAGCTACATACAAAAGGCTGCGCAGTTGTTTTAATCTGCATTTGCTGACAGACAGATTGGGCTACTTAACAGAATTATGAGAGATGTTGGTCCGACTCTATTTAATTGGATGAACATTTTTTAGTTTTATGCCTTACCCAAAATATAAAAATACATATAAATACATCTCGATCATTTACTTTAATCATTACTATTGGACTGTGAAGAGACTTTCAACCAGCACAACAACAAATGTTTCTGAAGACAATCACCTACTGCACCTTTAACTAGGTTAATTAGGCAGGTTAGGGTAATTAGGCAAGTTATTGTATACTGTAACAGTGGTTTGTTCTGTATATATAACAGTGGCTGTATCTATAACAGTGGTTGTTCCGGGTGCTCCAATTTCCCCCACAGTCCAACAACATGAGCTATAGGTGAATTGAATAAGCTAAACTGGCTGTAGTGTGTGAATGAGAGTATGTATGGGTGTTTCCCAGTACTGGGTTGCGGCTGGAAGGACATCCACTGCGTAAAACATATGCTGGAGTAGTTGGCGGTTCATTCCGCCGTGGTGACCCCTGATAAATAAGGGACTAAGGGTGCTTTCACATCTGTAGTTCGCTTCATTTGGTCCGGACCAAGCGCAATAAATGATACATTGTTGCATCTTCTGCCGTCTTTGGGTCGTTTTCACACCACACTGCTGGCTTTGGTCTGAACCAATGACTGTAAAAAATATGGACGACGCGACAGCCCTTTTTCCCATTGAACGCCTTGAGGGCACAACGCCTGCTTGACGGGCACAAACTGTCGCAAAAGACTGCTGAAATTGGAGCCAGACATGCGCAGAAGGACTGTCTGATGGAGCCAGAGGAGGAGCCGCGAAAATGAGCGGAGTCGAGCTTCCAACCAAACGCTTTATGTAAAATCGACCACGCCCCCCGAACTTCTCAGCATGCGTTTGCTGTCATATCAACACAAATGGATGTAATAACGTTAACAAATATGAGGGTTTTATATATTCAATCGCGCCAGCTCCAGGCCGCAGCGCATAACTTACTCGCGGCGTCGCGGGCTGATTCCGGCTCGCATGCGGCAGCGCCTGCTCGCTCGGCCGCCGCATCTGGCTCGATTGACTCGGGCTGGAATTGGGTAGTGAGTCCAGGCATCCGGAGTAGGTCCAGCAGAGGTAACATTAGTCAGTCTGAGCTCTAAGAGATAAGTCTCCGGCAGGCGAGAATCTAGCCGGAACTGTGTTTTGCTATCTGGGTGGCTAGGCGTGTATCAGCAAACTAATAAAGCCCGAAAAAAGCCCTGAACTTAGCGAATAAACAGTGTTCCACCAGGATCATGTATGTCAGAAACTATAGTTTACTGCTGAACTCATTTTGTCATGGTAAAATAACACAGAAATCGAATAATAACATTTCAGTCTACTTCAGTCTCCTGCCGAAGCTCAGACGCCACGCTTTGAGAAACTGTCAATCACAGCTGTCAATCACGATGACACGCCCAGCATTAAATTACTGCTAAAAACAAACTGTTTACAAAAATGAAGATCTGCACCTATTTCAGCACAATAACCAGTGCCTTAATCGACCAGAACTATCTTTCGGGACATTTTATTGCAAGTGTAATATTTTTTTTTATTTGGGCTCAAGTCTCCTTCATTAACACGGAGGAGGCGGGCTTTATGACTTGTACTGCAGCCAGCCCCCAGGGGGCGATCTAACGGCCGAAACCTTCACTCAAACGTAGGCTTGCGGCACACTTGGTCTGAACCAGTTGAAATGAACCAAAATGCAGTCATCTGACAAAATCCACATCTCTCATTGGCCAGATGTTGTTGAACATATTTCCTAAACTGCTTATTGATTGGTCAGAATTCACGTGCGGGAAAATGCCAGTGCACTCCCGCAGGTAAACAAAACCTTTTACTCTGGAGGGACGACTGCGCTGGCTGATTGTATCCCTGCTTTAGACAAACTATACATTACGAAAACGAAGCGTTTTCGTAATGAAAACAGAGTTTAATGCATCGCTCGTCACTTCAGGAGGAGTCGTGAATTAATTTAGCTAAACTGTGACATGGTCATCTTGCAGAAAATTATTATAACGATCCATCAGGTAATGTTTTCCCATCTCTCTCTGTTGGTAAAGCGCTGTCAACAAATATTTTTTCCTCCATATCCCATAATGCACAGCGCATCGGCCTACGGCAGCTGGATTAGTCCAAAACGCGCAGTACTTTTTGCGGTTGGACCTGTTTTAGTACGAATCATATTCTCACCACAAACGAACCGCTCCAGGGTTCGTTTGAAAGCGTACCGAGACCACCTCTTCAAGCAGGTCTCGGTACGCTTATTTGGTCTGCTTTTGGTGTGCACTCGAGTACGATTGCTGCATTCTCACCTGCCCAAACAAACCGTACCAAAAAGGGAAACAAACTCTAGTGCGATTCAATCGAACTAAATAAGGCAGGTGTGAAAGCACCCCAAGTTGGATAAAAATTACTAAACTGGAATAAAAAATTCCCGATACGCCATGATTCCGACAAAAATTCTATCAAGCTTCCTGACATTTTACACAAAGTTTGCAATAGAACTTTTCAAATTACATGATAATGCAGAAATGCGGGGAATCCGGTGCAACTATTTAATTTGTGCTCATGGCTTTAGTATGTGCTGCAGTAGTTCACCTGTGCAACAAGCAGCTGAATATCATGTTCAAACGTCTGCATAAGTCTCTGCAAAGTGCTGGTATTTGAAGTGCCTCCTTGACAGGCATGAACTTCAGGCAACCTCCGCTGCTTATCCTCAATCTGTGCTAACACCTGAAAAACACACAGGCGGAAACATGAGACTGCTGCACTCTTAGCTTTCATACAATATGAACACAAACACCTGCTCCTGTTTCTCCTGTACACACAAGCAAACAGTAAACACACAGAGCTTAGTCCAAGTCTCCACAACACCTGCAAAGATCAGCACACCTCAGCACTATCCCACAAATATCACTGTAATAAATTAAAATGCATGGACAAAGGACACCTAGGGAAACTAGAGTTGTGTCCCAAATGATACACTATACACTGCACTTATAAACTCGACTGTGTAGTGTATGAGTATAATGTCTTCCCAAAAAACACTAATGTTTTTTATTAAACAGAACGTCAACTATTTCCCAGTCAACGTTTTTTAATGGTTGCCTAATTAGTGAAATAAATGACCAAACTGCTAAATAATATGTGATCAGTACAACCACATTTACCATTTTCTCAACACATTTCTAAACGGGAAAGGGCAAAAAAATTGACTTCATCTACAGAACATACCTCTCGGCAGTCTGAGAAGAACTTGTGTAGCTGGTGTGAAGCAGCAAGCATCTGTCCCCGTGTCTCCATCAGCTCCAGCAGGTCGGCCCAGGCCTCGTTCACTCCATCCTTCCACTCGGCGATGGTGGCTGCATCCGTGTGGCCGTAATCTATGAGCTCATCCACCATCTGGTTAACAGCGGTGACCCTCTCCTGCCCCAGGCCGCCTGTCTCAGCTGCAAACTCTGTAAATTTCTCCTGCAGAATCTGAGAAATAGAAAAACTAAAGTCAACATGACGAGGAAAACATGTTAAAGTGTCCCTGTTATTGCTATTTAAAATGTTCCTCATTTTGTTTTGAAGGTCTTCTGTAATGGGTTGACATGAACACAAGATCGATCGATCGATCGATCGATCGATCGATCTATCTATCTATCTATCTATCTATCTATCTATCTATCTATCTATCTATCTATCTATCTATCTATCTATCTATCTATCTATCTATCTATCTATCTATCTATCTATCTATCTATCTATCTATCTATCTATCTATCTATCTATCTATCTATCTATCTATCTATCTATCTATCTATCTATCTATCTATCCTTCAGTAAGTCCGTCCGTCCGTCCATCCATCCATCCATCTAATTTTTATCCAGTAAGTCCATCCATCCATCCATCCATCCATCCATCCATCCATCCAGTAAGTCCATCCATCCATCCATCCATCCATCCATCCAGTGAGTCCATCCATCCATCCATCCATCCATCCATCCATCCATCCATCCATCCATCCAGTGAGTCCATCCATCCATCCATCCATCCAGTGAGTCCATTCATCCATCCATCCATCCATCTAGTGATTCCTTCCATCCAGTAAGTCCATCCATCCATCCATCCATCCATCCATCCATCCATCCATCCATCCAGTGAGTCCATCCATCCATCCATCCATCCATCCATCCATCCAGTGAGTCCATACATCCATCCATCCATCCATCCATCCATCCATCAATCCATCCATCCATCCATCCATCCAGTGAGTCCATCCATCCATCCATCCATCCATCCATCCATCCATCCATCCAATTTTTATTCAGTAAGTCATCCATCAATTCATCCATCCATCTAATCTTTATCCAGTAAGTCCATCAATCCATCCATCTAATTATTATCCAGTAAGTCCGTCCCTCTGCCCATCCATCCATCTATCCATCCATCTTTTCTTTAATAAGTCTATCCATCCAATTAGTCCATCCATCCATCCATCCATTTATCTATTGTCCCATTGTCCAGTAAGTCCATCCATCCAGAAAGCCAATCCATCCATCCATCCATCCATCTTCTCTTCAATTAGTCTATCTATCCAATAAGTCCATCCATCCATCCATTCATCTATTTATCTATTGTCCAGTAAGTCCATCCATCCAGAAAGCCAATCCATCCATCCATCCATCCATCCATCCATCCATCCAATTTTTATCCAGTATGTCCATCCATCTATTCATCCATTCATCTAATTTTTATCCAGTAAGTTCATCCATCTCTCCATCTAATTTTTATCAAGTACATCCATCCATCCATAAAATTTTTATCCAAAAAGTCCATCCATCTATCCATCTATTCATCCATCCATCTAATTTTTATCCAGTAAGTTCATCCATCCATCCATTTATCTATTGTCCTATTGTCCAGTAAGTCCGTCCATCCATCCAATTTTTATCCAGTAAGTTCATCCATCTATTCATCCATCTATCTAATTTTTATCCAGTAAGTACATCCACCCATCCATCTATCTTTTCTTCAATAAGTCTATCCATCCAATAAGTCCATCCATGCATCCATTCATCCATCTTTTCTTCAATAAGTCCATCCATCCATTTATCTATTGACCTATTATCCAGTAAGTCCATCTATCTATCCTTCCATTCATCCATCCATCTAATTTTTATCCAGTAAGTCCATCCATCCATCCATTGTCTAGTAAGTTTATCCATCCATCTATTCATCCATCTCTCTATTTTTGCAACATTATTCTCTGCTATATGAATAAACTCTGGATGAACTGACCGTGACGTGCTCAAAGTCCTGTCCGAGTTCAGTGGAGCTGGCGATGACCTCTCTCTCCGCGATCCACTGCTCCAGCTCATCCACTTCTCTGTTCAGCTGATAGAGCCAATACTGCTGCTCCAGACGAGACTTCCTCTCCTCCACCAGGTCCTTCAGAGACACGTACAGCCTGTCGATCTGAGACTGACGCTTGCTGATCTGCTCACTGAAACACGAACATAAACCTGGATTTCATTCACAGGAGCACATCTCTGACATCGGTTACTCCTGTAAATGTTCAACTATGATTAACGAATGCTGCACAAGTATTGTTCATTATTATTTCATGATAGTATGTAGAGATGCAGTCAGTGGATGTTTGAGTGTAAGGCGACTGCTGATCATTCACCAGTCTGGATGTCCGAGCTCAAGCAACTGTCTGCACTGCTGAGACAGCAGGCCGATGGTTTCTGCATAGTCCTCGATGGTCTGCTCGAGCACCAGCTGTTTCTTCAGCAGCTGCAGAGTACTGGCCTCATCCTGAACAGACAGAGATACATTCATCCTTCTGTGTCATCAGCTATAGCATCTGCAATAATGCTGCCAGGTGACCTCGGCTGAAAATAACGTCTACACTAGTGTCCATTTTTCTGTCTGCTGGACCAGTGGCACTACTGTATATACAGTGTAAGTCAAATTTAGTTTCTTTTTTTAATATTTCAAAAATGAGGTTTAACAGATTCAGGAATTTTTCATAGTATTTCCTATAAATATTTTTTTTTCTTTAGGAGAAAGTCTTGTTTTATTTTGGCTAGAATAAAAGCAGTTTTTAACTTTTTTAAAACCATTTTACAGTCAATATTATTAGCCCCCTTAAACAATATTTGTTTTTAATGTATACAGAACAAACAATGACTTGCCTATTTAACCCAGTTAAGCTTTTAAATGTCACTTTAAGCTGAATACTAGGGGTGCTCAATCAATATTGGTGGGTGGGGGGACCGCACTCCTACGTCAAGTTTTGGTCGATCTAAAAAAACGCTTTAAATTGGTTCACTGTTTTTATGTTGTTAAATTGAAAAAAAGCACTGTGTGTTAGAGATCTGCGCGGGACTAAATTTTGAGTCCCGCACCCGCCAGGTTTTAGCCCGAACCCGACCGCTCCCGCTTATAATAAGAATTTGTTGTCCCACTGTCCGACCCGCCCCGTTTTTCTGCCCGCCGCGCCTGATCCCGCTAAAGAGCGGGGGAGAACAAAACCGAAAATCCCCCAGCTATACAGTCCAGACAGCCAAGCTGTCTGTATAAACACACACACAAGCACCAAGCAGACACACAGGCGTTTGCTGTTATATCAACTCAAAGGGTTGTAATACCATGTATCAAGTACCAATGTAATACCAAAAGGTTTTATATAAAGGTATATAAATACTGAGTCGCGCCAGCTCCGGGCCGCAGCGCACATTACTCTCGGGAATCGGGCAGTGAGTCCACGAGCATCCGGCCTGAGTCCGGCAGCCGGAGCCGTGCCGAGTGGTAAGTCTCCGGCAGGCGAGAATCTAGCCGGAACTGGCCCGAGTGTATTTTGCTATCTGGGAAAGCTCTCTCTCTCTCTATCATTCGCGCGCGCTCGCACTAACATACACACACAAGCACCAAGCACACAAACAGGCAAAGCTTTCTTTCTCTCTCTCATTCGCATAGCAATATCCGCGATATTGCTAGACAGCCCGCTCCCGTCCCAAATTAAACCTGTTACCGACCGCTCCCGCATGTTATTCGGAAACTTATTACCACGCCACAGAAATCTGGTCGGGTCCTGCGGCGGCTGCAGACCTCTACTGTGTGTTTATATCACCCCAATATGAGGGTCTAAACACTATACTTACACACATGTCAGTCCAAACAGCTTGAAAAGTAGATTTTTCACCATAGGTGCCCTTTAAGCTGCGTTAACACTATCTACATTGTAAAAGCACTATAGATATAAAGATGAACTGAATTATAAAAAGGCTGTGCACATGTCTAATTTAAGAAGATGGCATCGGATTGGTTTATGGTTTCAAATACTCCCCAATACCAGAATGTTTGCATTATTGGTATTTCCGATACTAGAAACAGTAGCAGAACAACCCTAATCCCCACAGTCATCCTACCTTCCCGGTCTCCTCATTCATCATGTGCAGCTCCTGTTCGCTCAGCCAGGCCTCCACCTCTGCCACATCAAAGTAGTACTGCTGTGCCTGGTACATGGCGTCCAGTGTGAGCTGCCGGCGCTCCGTCTCTGCCCACAGTGCCTCCCACAGCTGATGGAGCTGCTCCATGCCGGCCCGGATACTGTCGGCCTCTGGACTGCGGATGGAGGAGATGAGACCTGCTCGCTCCAGGACGTCCTCCACCCGCGAGCGGTGGCCATGAAGCTCTCGCTGAAGAGTCTGAGAGCAGATGAACAGCACAGAGTTACGCCACATCTCATTTCACAAACATTGTCTAAAACAGGGGTGCTCAACCCTGTTGCTGGATTTCTACCTTTCTGCATAGTTAAGCTCCAACCCTGTTCAAACACACCTGAGCCAATTAATTAGGACCTGAACAGCACTTGATAATTGTATGATGTGCAACAGAAATCTGCAGGAAAGTAGTGGTGGGCAAAGCGAGGCTTCATGAAACCCTGAAACAGTCGCAGCAAATGTGTCGAATCTTCGAAACATTTCGAAACCCCACTCTACAATGACACCTAGTGGTGATTTTTTATGTATTGCACTGGAACAGCTGCAGCAAAGAACAGTTGAGCTAATTGAGGTATTAAACCCCACTTTGTAGGCTTGAACCTGTGATTTAGTGGAGCGATTAAGGTTTCTGACTACCGTGCGGGGATAGTGGGTTCGAATCCAGGCTGATACAGCTTGTTTGAAATGCTTTGACATCAGTTTGTAATGCTTTGTTCTTGTATTGTTTTGTTTCAACATTGGTCTGACATCTGAATAAACACTTTGTAAATAAATCTGTCATGTTTTGGTCATAAAACAGGGCTGTTGCTGGATCAGATATGGTTGTAGCCGGAAGTTAACAAGAATTATTTATATTATTCATATAATTTCCCATTTATTGTATTTTATGAATGTCTACCTAAACCTAACCATCACAGTACTGTAAAATTATTAATTATTGTTTTACAATATTACAATAACTATGCTAAATTGATGGCGTAAACGCAGCTGTATACTATCTAGACCAGTATTTCTCAACTGGTGGAACATTTTCAGTGGGTCGTGGAGTGTGTTAAAAAACTAGTTTTGACTTTTATTTTGAAATGCGTGCGCGACAAGCCTACCGTTTGACATGTGAAATTTCATTTAATTATAGCAACAAATATGACGAAGCACAGGTACGACCTTGAATATGTAAAGTATGGATTTACATATATTGATGACAAAAAAAGACTTAAAGCCTCAGTGTTTTATATGTAGTGAGGTGCTCTCACGAGAGAGCATGAAACCTTCTGAATTAAAACGACATTTAGAAACCAGACAACAGTTCAGTTTAGTTCATGGTAACTGGGCTTACTTGATTCTTCTTCATGAGTTGCTGTACAGCTTGTAAACTTGTCCCGAGTTCCTGAGAAGTGGCCACTGGAATATGCTCTTGTATCCACAACTGCAGACAAACACAAAGAAAACATGTTTGAAAACACATTTTGAAATATATTTTTTAGATTTATAATAAAAAAAACTAATAAATATTTGATTGAAGTATTGGTATCGATATCAGAGATACTAGTCTTGAAATACTTTGTGTCGGATTGGAAAGAAAATATTTGGTATGGCACATCCTTACAATTTGTCCAAACACAATAACATGTCTTCAAGTGAAGTTTCATTTATTAAACTAATTTCGAGAGGAGTACGTGATCATGATTAAACCAGCTGGCTCATATTAGCTAACCACGATCCTCCAATCAAGGATCCCTAGTTCCTATATATATCTCCTCCTTTTCCACTTACAACTATCTTCGTCTTGAAGAATCCCCCCTCCTCCCCCTTCTTCCACCTTTATCCAAAATAGGGGGCTCGGCGGCCCAGCAACCAACAGGAATATCCGTAGCTCTACTTGAGAGTCTGGTATCTCTGCGTTGCGCTAGCACGTTTCCCCCCCCGGGGTTTCAGTTCTCTCCCAAAGCCTAAAAAATTGCTCTGCATCATAGACCTCTTAAACCTAAGTCTCTTTTACTAGTCGTCTCGCTCTCAAGAAGGTCACCTTGGCCTTAGCTGCGGGGGAGTTTTGAGATCGCTCTGAGCTCAATCTCCCTTCGCCCCACAAAGGGAGAGAGCCCTGGACTCGAGGAATGCCTTGAGCTCAGGGCTCTCTCCTAGGACAGCATGCCAAATGAGCTTTTGTCATGAGCTAAGTGTGACCTCTTGAAAGGAGAAGTATTAACAGGATTTAAAAACGAAATACCAACATGGGGGAACTACATCACTTACATGTTATGTATTCGATTAACTGTGTACTGTGAACCGTACGGCTCACTAGAAACTAATGACCATTGAACTCACAATTTCATCCTCGATGTCCCGGGCCACTTGGTGCACTTCTTTAGAAGCCAGCAGGATGCGACGTCTCTCCTTCAGAGGCTCGATCAGCCGCACGATCCGCGTTTCCACACCAGTTTGTTTCACAGACACCTTCTCCATCACCTCTCCCTGCTGCGGGATGGAGGCCGCCTGAGCCTGCAGATCTCCAACCTCTTTATACCATTCCTCCATCTGACACTCCATCGTCTGCAAGAGGTCGAAACAACCAATAAGCAGAAGGACGTCAATGGAGGAGAAGAACAGGACAGAAAGGCAGGAGAACAGAGTGGACGTCAAAGAGAGAGAGGAACGGAGGAAAACACCGTTAAAAAGAGGACAATATAGAGAGTGGGAAAGAGGAGAGGAAGAACACCAGAAAGACAGGGAAGGAGACAGGAAGTGAGTTATGACATCATCATAAACGTTTCAAACTTCCAAAGAAAATTTGAAGCCATTGGAAATGTTCCGTTTACAGCAGCATTAAGTTTAAAAGGCATTAAAAGGATCAAGGATCAATAAATGCATAGTATATTCAGTAAGGATGCATTCATTTGATAAAAACGTGAGATATTAAATATTTTCAATGCTACAAACATGTTTTTTTTCTATATATTTATTGACGAATCCTAAAAAAAATTGTCAAAAATTTTAATAATTTGTTATGGAAAAACACTGATGACAAAACAGATTTTTTTTAATTATTAAGAAAGGTCATCTGACAGTATTCGAAATTTATACACTCACCGGCCACTTTATTAGGTACACCTGTCCAACAGCTCGTTAGTGCAAATTTCCTATCAGCCAATCACATGGCTGCAACTCAATGCATTTAGGCATGTAAACATGATCAAGACGATCTGCTGCAGTTCAAACAGAGCATCAGAATGGGAAAGAAAGATGGTGCCAGATGGGCTGGTCTGAGTATTTCAGAAACTGCTGATCTACTGGAATTTCCACGCACAGCCATATCTAGGGTTTACAGAGAATGGTCTTAAAAAAATATCCAGTGAGCGGCAGTTCTGTGGGCACAAATGCCTTGTTGATGCCAGAGGTCAGAGGAGAATGACCAGACTGGTTCTAGCTGATAGAAAGGCAACTGTAACTCAAATAACTACTCTTTACAACCGAGGTCTGCAGAAGAATCTCTGAATAAACAACACGTCCAACCTTGAGGCAGATGGGCTACAGCAGCAGAGGACCACACCGAGTGCCACTCCTGTCGGCTAAGAACAGGAAACTGAGGCTACAATTCACACAGGCTCACCAAAACTGGACAATAGAAGATTGGAGAAATGTTGCCTGGTCTGATGAGTCTCCATTTCTGCTGCAACATTCGGATAGTAGGGTCAGAATTTGGTGACAACAACATGAAAGCATGGATCCATCCTGCTTATCAATGGGTCAGGCTGGTGGTGGTGGTGTAATGGTGTGGGGGATATTTTCTTGGCACACTCGGGGCCCATTAGTACCAATTGCACATTGTGTCAACGCCACAGCCTACCTGAGTATTGTTGCTGACCATGTCCATCTCTTTATGACCACAGTGTGATCCAATAGAGCACCTTTGGGATGTGGTGGAACATACTTGCATCATGGATGTGCAGCCGACAAATCTGCAGCAACTGTGTGATGCTATCATGTCATTATAGACCAAAATCTCAGAGCAATATCCAGTACCTTGTTAAATCTATGGCACAAAGGATTAAGCCAGTTCTGAAGGCAAAAGGGAGTCCAACCCGGTAATAGTAAGGTGTACCTAATAAAGTGGCCGATTAGTGTATATATTTGTATGCAGTCATTTTTACTGTATTTTGTCTTAGACAAAAAAATGTCATAAATACATAGAAAAATACTGAAAAATCTCAAACTTTAGAACGGTAGTGTTAAAGATCCAGTGTTGCAGATCCAGTTGAACTCATTTGAGAAATACATTATATAAATTATGACAGTGAAGTAAATTACAGTAAATGACCAGTCCAAACTCATATATCAAAGACTAATTAACAATAATACGATTTTAAATTGAGACCTATTATCACCGACATGCCTTAGTTACTGTCATTTTGAAATGAGAAGCAGCAATTCTTTAACCTAAAGCACAGCTGACACCTAAACTAAAGAGACTTTGCATCGCTTCACCATCGCTGATCTTTCACATAATAGCAATGTTTAATTCAATAAAAATAAATACCAAGTAAACTTAGCGTCAGAGATATTAAAATTATTTAAAATTATTGTGAGTTACTAAATAAAACAAATGTTTCTTTAGTGACAATTTGAAATATGCTGATGTATTTAAGGACAGGAAATATAACACAATAAAAAAGACACACTCCCATACACACACACACACACACACACACACACATACACCTCACAGCCACCTCATAGGACCAGTCAGTCTGCAGTGACCACAACCTATGATGCACAGATGAAATATATTCTGCTGGAGACTGATGGCGATTTAAATGGTCTATATGTAGAATTCAGGAAACCTTGTTATTAGCGACACCTGTGGCCGTTAGGTGAACTGCAGACAGCAACTTACTGCTATTGGATGCGGCTGATCTATCATTTTGTACGAAAAGAAGACAACAAAGTGCACAATGTGCCTGATGTTGAAGTTATCTAGTGCAATATTTACTTGCGTTACTCTAGTCTACATCCTCTAGTTTAGACCCCAACTGTGTGACTGACCAAATGGAAACACAGAGAATAATTTCATAATATCTGTATTCATGTAAACATTGCTGGTTATGTCTTGTCTTAAGGGAACTTAAGCTGTTTGGGCGGAAAGTCAACTGCGTAACATTATATTGGATTTTTTGATATTTTATTTACTTGCCAGGAGAGATAAAGGGATAGCATAAGATAAGGTCTGTGAGCCGGGACTCGAACTCGGCACAATTGATGCAGACAACATTGGCTTGTTATTGTAAATAATATAAAATAATGAGAGACTCACTCACTAATTTGATTTAATTTATTTTTACTTAAATGCTTTCAGTAAACTGTTGTTGTTTTGTATTTGTTTCTACCTTATATTGTATTATTCGACTGCTTTTAATAACAAAGATAAAGAATAACAAATAGCTATTATGATTATTAGTATGTTACTTATTTACTAATAACTAAATATTTAATTTAACATCCATTTATTGATTAACCACATACAGTTGAAACCAGAAGTTTACATACACTGTATATAAAGGCACATAACCATTTAAAAAAAAAAGTCAGATGTTAATGTGACTAAACTTTTTCTTTATCAGTCAGGATTATCAAATGTGTTTCTGTTATGCTTAATAGCAATATAACGAGAGAGATATTATTGAGAAATTGGTATAACTTTTCTTAAAAGTCAAGTTTATGTACAATAAGATTATTCTGCCTCTGAAAAAGCTCAGATGAAGGTGTTTTGGAAGTTTCTGGTTGGCTAATTGACAACATTTGAGTTAATTGGAGACACAACTGTAGAGTAGTATTTAAGGAAAACCTCAAACACACTGCTTCCTTGTGTGACAACATGAGAAAATCAACAAGCCAGAATCAACAAAAAAGCCAGATTACCATTTGCTAAATTACACTGGGAATAATTTTTGGAGACATGTGCTGCGGCCTGATGGACCTAAGATTGAACTGTTTGGCCATAATGTTACATTTGGTGGACAAAGAGGAAAGCTTACAAGCCTAGGAGCACCATCCCAACTGTGAAGTATTGGGGCGGCAGCATCATGTTGTGGGGCTGTTTTACTGCAGGAGGGACTGGTTCACTTCAAAGCATAGATGGCATCATGAAGAAAGAACATTATGTAGAAATACTGAAGCAATATCTCAAGACATCAGCCAGGAAATTAAAACTTGGCCACAAATGGGTCTTCCAAACAGACCATGACCCTAAGCATACTGCCAAATTAGTTAAAATGTGCTTTAAGGACAACAGAGTGAATGTTTTGGAGTGGCCATCACCAAGCCCTGATCTCAATCCTATAGAAAACTTGTGGGGAGAGTTGAAAAAGCTTGTGCGAGCAAGACAGCCTACAAATCTGACTCAGTTACACCAATTCTGTCAGGAGGAATGGGACAAAATTCCTGCAAACTATTGTGAGAAGCTTGTGGAAGGATCTCCAAAATATTTGACCAAAGTTATACAGTTTAAAAGAAAGCTAAAAAAACACCAAGGAAATGTGTGTAAACTTTTCACTGTCTAAAAATTCTTTAAAAAAAAAAAATAAATAAATTCTCTTATTATTCTGGCATTTAGCAAATGTAAATAATTTATGTAATCCTAACAGACCTAAAATAGTAAACGTTTAGTATGATTTACCATCAGACATTTTTGAAAAATAGTTATGTTCTTTTTTTTTTGATTGTATGTGAACTTCTGGTTTCAACTGTATATGTACGTTATTTAAGTACACTTTTGTTAAAAGTATATGCTGGAAATTAAATAATATTTGTAATTATGGTTTTGTGCTACTTTTAAGTATTCTGACTATTTATTTTAAGCCTTAACATCAAGCAAACAAACAAAAAATGTCCCACTTTTCTTTACATTAAAAATTCTACAAATTTCCAATTCATGGGTTCCTATCAGCCTATTAGTGTTAATGTCAATTTTGAAGTATCGCATTATAAATAAGCGATGGATATTTTTAATTTCTAATAAAAGTCCCTTAATTCGCAGAAAACTTTTTAAGCTCACTTAGGGTCGCTCAAGTGTCCAAATAATCGGACATGGATGGAAACAAATTTGCCAAATAAACTCTGATGTAGCAAACGTTAGACACACATTACCAATCAGCTGTCTCCACTATGCTTGCCTTGATTACTGTTGGTTGCTAGGTTACCAATACTACAGCCAGCCACTCTAACAACTTGCTGCTTGTTGCAAACTTGGAAACCAAGCTACTAGTGACACTCGACAATGACACACACTACCAGAGAAAAAAAGTGATTGACACATACCAATTCTTACATATAGCCCATTTAAAGAAAGTAAAAGCAAACGGAAAGAAAGAAAGCAAGAAAGAGAGGATGTGTGCAAAAAATGACAGCGAAATGAAGATGCTACAATACCGCTGATGGTGATGAGGGTGGAGTGACGTGGAAACAGAGCTGAAACTGAACTCAGATCAGCTGAGAGCCATGGCATGCTGTCAGAGAGGAGACACTCATACGGTGGACACTGATGACGCTCATATTAC